GTCTTATTTGGAGCCTCTTAGCATGTCACACGATTGTTTTTTTACATCCAGAATGACAATAAATACACCTTTTTTAAATGATTGATTCTTAAAATATATATTTTTAGTTTTTATAATCGTTTTTATCTCACAGGTAAAGAAAGACACATTATTATCGCAGCGGCTGCTTTAAGTGAACGGCAGCGCCATCTGGAGGCCGATGGCTGAACTGCAGAAGACAGAATTACATATTGATTCAAATCAAGGTTAAGGAATACTTTAGTATGTTAATCATAGTTGGCGATAATGTGTAATCCTAGACAAAAACTTTTTACATTTTTTTTAGTATTGTGTTGTCTCGGCCCCTGTGTTGAGACTTAGAATATTTTCTTTCATTAACATTTTTGGAGCTTGTTTATCAGGAAGTTTGTAGTAACTTCGTCGTGATATTTCAGATCTTTTACCAAAAACGAAATTAAATGGATAACTCATGGTAGACCCCCACACTCACACAACTTCAGACTAAGACACCACTGTTGTGTAATGACACTTGTAATGGCAACTTTTAATGTTCCATTGTCCTACTCTTGTATTGCCATTACTTCACAGGAGGAGATGGAGTGATCCAGACGCAGACACAAACAGATGATTTTCCGGTTCTTTGGTGCAGTTTAGAATGATGTTTATTGAGCTTTACATACCAAGGTTTAATTATGCTGTCAAAGGTGTGGGGGAAACCTCTGTAGCAATTGGAAACAGGACTGAGACACGAGGAGAGCTGGAGCTTTGATGGCAAACACTGACGGTTTATTTGGAGCTTCGGCCGGAGAATTCATAAAACAGGCGGTGTGTCACGAGCTGACACAGCGGTTGCCAAACCAATTCTGAAGAACTCTTTCTGCAGCTCGAGGTTTTAAATAGTTCGGAGTGTAATAATCAACATTCTTTATCAGTGAGACTAAACAATTATGGACCCTGCTCGAGTCCTTACTAACACTAAGAAAGTGGATCACATCACTCCTGTTCTGAAGTCTTTACACTGGCTTCCTGTGTGTCAAAGAATTGATTTCAAAATATTTGAAATGGTTTAGGCCCAAAATACATGTCTGACCTACTGCTAAATTATGAACCCTCCAGAACTCTCAGGTCTTCAGGGACTGGTCAGCTTTCTGTCCCCAGAGTCAGAACTAAACATGGAGAAGCAGCATTCAGTTATTATGCTCCAAATATCTGGATCAAACTCCCAGAAACCTGCAGGTCCGCTGCAACTCTGACTACTTTTAAATCCAGGCTGAAGACTTTTCTTTTTGCCGCTGCTTTTAATTGAACTATTCACATCTTAAACTGCACTGTAATTTGTATTCACGTATTTTTTTCTTTTAATGTTTATTTTATTATCTTTGCTTTTTAATGACTTTTTTAAATGCCATTTTCTTAATGTCTTTCATTTGTGTAAAGCACTTTGAATTGCCTTGTGTTGAAAGGTGCTATATAAATAAACTTGCCTTGCCTTGCCCTGAATCTAACTAGAGCTCTCGTCCATAGAAAAGAATGTGCGCCGGGGAACCTTCGTCTCTGAACAGTAAACTACCTCATGGCAGCTTGTGCTCTGTCATAGACTGGCAACAACAATGCACCCAAGCTGCCCCTCCTTAAGAGAGACAGCAGCAGAACCCCAGGCCGTAGACCTGTGCCGTGAGAAAAGAGACAGTGAAGAGAGAAAACGATGAACTGGGTCGAAGGTTGAATACCTAAGCAAATGATTCCCTAACAAAAGGTTGTGGTATGAGCATCTGCCGGGCTGTTGACAGCATAATTAAACCTTGGTATGTAAAGCTCAATAAACATCATTCTAAACTGCACCAAAGGACCGTAAATCATCTGTTTGTGTCTGCGTCTGGATCACTCCATCTCCTCCTGTGAAGTACTGGCAATAAAAGAGTAGGACAATGGAACATTAAAAGTTGCCATTACATTAAGTGGAATCGGTAGGCTCTCTTCCTCCTGTGTCCTCGTCCTTTCCGGTCACCTTTTATACACCCGGTGCAGCTAACCCCCGCCACCAAGTGTCCAAAAATAATATTGCAGTATAAATATCAATTAAATAAACTGACACGCCAACAACACCCATAACATGGCTCCTACGACAATTATGTGCACTTTGTTAATTAGTAGAATCTACTTCGAATGTAACTTTTACATTTTTCTAATTTGAAATGTTATATTTTTTATCTATTTATCTATTAGTGTTTTATTTTTGTAATCTATCTTCTCTTATGCTGTCACAATGTACATTTCCCCTCTGTGGGACGATATCAAGTTATTCTGATATTCTGAAGGGCTATTTTCTTTATAAGCAATGCTTTCTGTCTGTCTGTTCAACTCACTTTGTTTTCCTGTACCATCTGTTAACATTGTCTGTATTCAGGGACGCCGCTTGCGGACAGGCAACGGCTTGGGGCCCCGGACCAGAAGGGGGCCCCCAAAGAAGGTAGATTGAGAAGGTCCACTGCAACGACAACATGAAACACCCTTTAATTTACTGCAGACATGTCAGGAAACCCCCTCAAGGCGGCCCCATGCATAGCGCGCTGTAAAATGCTGCTTCTTAAGGCCGCTACACACCCACCTGAGACCAAAGAACGCGTACCGAAGGCGTCCCGACTTTTACGTCAGCTTTGTCGCCTGCGTCGGCTACGCCACCCGCCTACGCCACCCGCCTACGAACACACGGCAAATACTTCAGTCGACGAGTGGCAATAACTGTCCTTACCAGCAGGCAGCGGTAGTGTGAACAGCCAATCAGTGATCGCTTGGGCCGACTTTCTCTGACCTCCCGCGGCCGATTCAACATGTTGAATCGGCCGAGGTGTGAAAAGCTGCCGTCAAGAGACGACGGTGCGGGACACACCAACCTGAGTAGGGCGCCGCGAATGCCCGACTGCCTCTGACGGCCTCTGACTCCCAAAATCGGGTTGGTGTGTAGCCAGCTTTATCTTAAATTTCGTTGCCTGGCTCCGCTCCGGTGGGGGGGGGGGCTGTCGGCTGTGCGTGGGGATGAAAAGCTGGTTTGAGGGGCCCCCAGTGAATGTTTGCCTAGGGCCCCCACAGACTCTAGTGGCGCGTTTCCACTACACGGCCTCGCTCGGCCTCGCTCGGTATGGCTAGGCCTCGTTAGGACTGGCTCACTTTATGGCGCATTTCCATTACAGTTTAGGAACTGGGGCAGTATCTATAGTAACGCAGTGTAGGCGGAGCCGTGACGTCATCTTCAATGAGAACCCCAGAAAAACAACACAGCCGTTAGCTGTTAGCACTCAGAGCTCACAGCTCCTCATATATGTTCAGAAACTAGACAAAAGTTAAACAAGTCCAAACCACAGACTGCCTGTGTCATGGTGAATACAGTCGCTGCTTTATTTATGTCTGTAGGCCGTTGTTGTGAGTGTGGACGGTCGGAGCATATACTGCGTTAGCTTAGCCAATCTCCATTTAGAAAACACGCATTTTAAAAGGTTTTTTTGCCTGCCGTCTGTCTGCAGACTTGTCAAAGCATTAATTCATGGTTTTTACTAACCGGTATCAGTATGTTGTTACTTCATCATTTTGAAACGTGTATTACAATTAAATCACGGTCAAATATGTCCATCTTGTTGTAGTTGTAGCCCCCTTGCCAGCGATGCTCTCTCTAGTTTAGCATACTCAGCCCGACTCAGCCTCGTTGTCTCTGGCCCTAGACCCACGATTTTATGAGGCCAGAAAAACTGTGAATTAGGACCCGCCGGCCGGTACTAGGCCAAGTGGAAACGCAACCAAAAACGGGCCGCTGACGTCACAGCCCTCTTAAACCGTGCTCCGCGCTGTAGTGGAAACGCGCCATAAGATCGCCAGTCTGCATTATTAAAATTGTATTAGTTAAATGTAAAACAAAAAACACTTTTGATATTGTATTCTTCTTGTCTCAGTTTCATACATGTTGTTGTGGGTTACATGTTGTTGTAGGTTACATGTTGTTGTAGGTTACATGTTGTTGTAGGTTACATGTTGTTGTAGGTTACATGTTGTTGTGGGTTACATGTTGTTGTAGGTTACATGTTGTTGTAGGTTACATGTTGTTGTAGGTTACATGTTGTTGTGGGTTACATGTTGTTGTGGGTTACATGTTGTTGTGGGTTACATGTTGTTGTAGGTTACATGTTGTTGTAGGTTACATGTTGTTGTGGGTTACATGTTGTTGTAGGTTACATGTTGTTGTAGGTTACATGTTGTTGTAGGTTACATGTTGTTGTAGGTTACATGTTGTTGTAGGTTACATGTTGTTGTGGGTTACATGTTGTTGTGGGTTACATGTTGTTGTGGGTTACATGTTGTTGTGGGTTACATGTTGTTGTGGGTTACATGTTGTTGTGGGTTACATGTTGTTGTGGGTTACATGTTGTTGTGGGTTACATGTTGTTGTGGGTTACATGTTGTTGTGGGTTACATGTTGTTGTGGGTTACATGTTGCATTTTCTCTTGAAATCAAAAGATGTTATTACAGCCTAGCCAAGACCTTAGTTGAGCCATCACCCTTTTAACATGTATGTTTTGATGTGGTTGTACTGTCATAAAACAAATAAAAAAACAAGGAAATAGTTTGATTTGTTTTGGAAGAATATTCAAAGTCTAGCATTACAAAATGGATATGACCAATGATATCAATCCCTCCATAAGAAAGGATAACTTGCGTATTAAAGGCTAACAAACATCATTTGAGAACAAATCCTTCATCTGTAATGTTAGGGATTTGAATGTAATAACTATCAGGTGAATGAATAATGTCCTAGTGAACAAAAGGCAATGAAGTTTCTGAGCTTTTAGTATTTTTTTAAATGTCTCTGTTATGTTTATTTTGTATTGGGTGCAATTTGGTTTAGATAACTATTTATAGAAAATAAGGAGCATTCTTGATTCTGAGCTTTTTAGTTTGTGTCAATGCAGGCGAGGTATTATTGTAGAAGAAATGAAATTTACACTTCGAATGGTGTGGAATAATCTATTTTATTTTAAGAGAAAAAACACTAAATCAATCTTATTTTGTTTTCATTTAGAGCTGCTGTTTCCATGGCCAAGAAGGATCCTCAATCTCATATTTACTATCGTTGTTCTTACTTTAATAAATAAAAACGTGTAATGATGATGAACCAAAACCCCTGTGCACGTTATAAACTGTAGGGAGTAAAGCTGTGTCTGAGAGACGAGTGGTTTGGCTGTAGGCACTGTGGAAACTGTCTTTTTTAGTCTTTGATTCAGTTCTTCCAGAAGTTGGGGTTCTGGCTCATCCTCCTCTGGAAGTTCTCGAACCACTTGAGGACGCAGCTGGAGGGGATGAAGGTCTCCGAGGGGTTCGGGGTCATCTGAGCCTGCGTCACCGCGAAGGACGAGGCGAAGTTGTAGAGACTGTCCAACATCTTCTGGGTGAAATGCAGGAAGGAGTCCACGGTGGAAACGGCGGCGCTGGAAACCGGAATCTGCTGGGCGAGCTGATCCAGAGCCTCCACCGACACACCGACCTGAGACCAACAAGACACATGGGGGACAATGTGGGACAATCAGAGGTGGGAAGTAGTGGAGTACAAATACTTCGTTACTGTACTTAAGTAAAGGTTTCTGCTATCAGTACTTTACTCCACTACTTATTTTTCAGACGACTTTTTACTTTCACTTCTTACATGTTGAACCCAAATACCTGTACTTTCTACTTCTTACATGTTGAACACAAATACCTGTACTTTCTACTTCTTACATGTTGAACACAAATACCTGTACTTTCTACTTCTTACATGTTGAACACAAATACCTGTACTTTCTACTTCTTACATGTTGAACACAAATACCTGTACTTTCTACTTCTTACATGTTGAACACAAATACCTGTACTTTCTACTTCTTACATGTTGAACCCAAATACCTGTACTTTCTACTTCTTACATGTTGAACCCAAATACCTGTACTTTCTACTTCTCACATGTTGAACACAAATACCTGTACTTTCTACTTCTTACATGTTGAACACAAATACCTGTACTTTCTACTTCTTACATGTTGAACACAAATACCTGTACTTTCTACTTCTTACATGTTGAACACAAATACCTGTACTTTCTACTTCTTACATGTTGAACACAAATACCTGTACTTTCTACTTCTTACATGTTGAACCCAAATACCTGTACTTTCTACTTCTTACATGTTGAACCCAAATACCTGTACTTTCTACTTCTCACATGTTGAACACAAATACCTGTACTTTCTACTTCTTACATGTTGAACACAAATACCTGTACTTTCTACTTCTTACATTTCCCAAACAGGCTGGTTCCTTTAGTTTGAATGTGTGTTTGGTGGCGTGATCATTATTATTTAGAGTCATTGCGTGCCTATTGATTTGAACACGATCCGTGTATCCATCATTTCCTGGTCTTCTCTAAAGAAGAGGGACCAATGAAAACGTTGTCATGTTGCCGTTGTTCAGCATGGAAACATTCATTAGCTAACAATGACATTATTGTTCTATTAATATAAAGGGAGGTCAGGTACTCTTTAAAACAGCTGCTAGTTATGGGTACTTTTTACTGAAGTACATTTCAAAGCCCTCTTTACTTTGACTTGAGTAAAGAAGTTTAGTCAGTACTTCTACTTTCACCAGAGTATCTTTAAACACGAGTATCTGTACTTCTACTTGAGTAAAGGATGTGTGTACTTTTGCCCTCTCTGGGGACAATGTGGGACACCTTACTGCGATGCTAAGATTAGATTTCAATAATGTCCATGTAACGCAGTGTTTCTCAAAGTGGGGGGTGCTAGTGAGCTAGTGGCCGGGTCTCAAACGGTTTGGTCACGATTAATGTAAACAATTATTTCCGAGGCACACGTTCATATTGATGCATTTTAATAAATGTTAACTTGGCCCATTACGTGACTATTTGTGTTGGAGGGCCCCGACTTTTTTTTCTTCTCCAAAGACAGAAAAAGTTTGAGAACCACTGATGTAAAGAGTGATGGAAAGTAACTACTAACTAAGATTTACTCAAGTACTGTACTTAAGTATTTAAATGTTTTGCTTTGTACTTCTCCTACACTACAGTTCAGAAGTAAATGGTGTACTTTTACTCCACTACATTTATGTAATAGCTTTAGTTACTTTACAGCTGGTCCTCCTACCTGAGCCACGGAGGGTGACAGCCGGGAGGAGGAGGCCATCATACCGAAGGGGTTTTCCCCGCCCTCCCCCGCCTTCAGGCAGGAGATCTTAAAGATGGCACTGGGCTTCTCGTTGGTGATGAAGCCGAGCAGCTGCCACACCTCGCTGCCGCCCGAGGGGTCCGGGAAGGAGAAGTGGACCGCTCCTCCGGTACCGGCGGGGAACGGAACCGTGCCCAGCATGAACACCACCACGTGGTTCACCTTCTCATAGTCCGGCAGGTTGAACACGAACTTGTCCGAGGCGACTTGCACCGCGTCTGTCTGCACCAACCTGCCGGCCACCAGACAGCCGAACATCCCGCTGCAGCTGCTGGAGGATTAGCCGTTAGCTTCGCTGTTAGCCTTCAGCCCCTCCTAGTTATTTAAAAACCCAGCAGCACGTGTTATCCGGTAAAAGGCAGAGACATGACTCCCGCTGCCGGTAGTGTGGTGAAGTGCTGTAATGCTCGACTATCGATTGTGCGTCCTGATAACTGTCCACTGTGTTTACTGTACTGAGTTCAATGTAAAGGGTTAATATAGCCCTTTGTTTAGACTGACAGGCAAACCTTACTCCCTGTAGAGCAAATACATATGGGATGTGACCAACAGCTTTCTGAACATTCTGAGAAGTCGGAACTCAATTTATTTTTAATTCTGGTCACACCCCAAGATCAATGGACTATATTACAACATCATGTTATTGTTGTTTTGTATTTCTTGTCATTGCATTGTTGAGGATCCTGCGACCAGTGTTTCATTCATTACATTACTACACCTTAGTTGTGTATATGATGACACATTTGACAATTATGACGATACACCATTTGAATCTTGAATGTATATAACTTTATTTATCAGTTTTGCAAAACAAACTTACAATAACATAAATGGTTGAGCCTTCATGAAAAAAGTTGTAAGCATAACATTGTATAAAATCAGAATCAGAATACCTTTATTCATTACATTCATAATAATAATATCCCATTAATATATTAATTAAAATATCCATTTCTTCTAACGTGTTGTGTTTGGGGTCAATAAGGACATACTGCCCTTCCAGTGTCAGCAGTCCAAAGGCTTGCTGTTGCCTCTCCTTTTGATTCGTACACTCCGGACACAATGAGCCACAAAGTGTGGGCTTGCAAGTGGGTCCAACTCCTTCATTTTGAATGTGATCATTTTCTTGAGCTTTAAACGGCGGCGCTCAAAATGAGCCCCAAGGATCAAAGGAAGACAAAAGTGAAGTCTCTGTTCTTTAATGTGAAAGTGAAGCGTCTCTGGCTGTCCGTCACTTTGGATCTGAGTTCAGTTTAGTCGTTTGTTACCCTCTTATTCTCCAAGTCCTCTAAAGGTTTAGTAAATCAAAGCAGCATTTACTCCTCATGGCGGCTCCGCTGTTACTCTGATTCTGGCCCAGTATAATCATTAACTCTACTCGTGAATTATTTCATTACTGCTCTTTACTACCATGCAGTGGTGTAACGTAGTGAAGTACATTTACTCAAGTATTGTGCAATATTGTGGTACTTGTACTTTACTTGAGTATTTCCATGATATGCTACTTTATACTTCAACTCCACTACAATTTGACAATTATTTGACAAAATTAGGTACTAGTTATAAATTCAGATTATTAGCTAAAATAAAAGATCAATAAACTATGATATATAATTATAGATTAAATTATCCAGCAGCAGCATATCAAGTTAAAGTTGCTCCACTTGTAACAACACATGAATGTATTGTTATGACCGGCTCGTAGGCCACAACAGGAAGAGAGAGAGAGACGTTCGAGGGTTCCAAAAACACGGCACATTTATTGTGGCGATTCCAAAACACCAAAAACATGAGGATGGGCGAGGGGAAAGGATCCCGGAGAGAGTCTTCCTGTGGCGGGCTTGGAGAGAGTCACGAAGGCCCTGTGACTCCGGGCAGCTGGGCTTAAGTAGCACCTCGGCTCCGGCCAGGTGTCCCCATGCTGATTGGCCTCCTCAGCTCCACCCCCATCACAGGACCTGCAACACACCTGCACACTCACAGGCCACAGGCTCTGGGGCCGTCACAGTATACAAAATAAAAGAATCCAGTAATTCAATATATAAGATTCTAAAATGGGACATTGGGCACAGTAAGTACTTTTACTTTTGGTACTTTTACTATTTTTGTATGCCAATACGTCTCAGTTTATGCTGCTTTATACTTCAACTCCACTACAATTTGGAAACCAGTATTGTACTTTTTACTCCACTGCATTTATTTGACAGCTTTTAGTTACTATAGATAGATATAGATTAATAGATCATTCAAAACATAAATCAATTATTAAATACACTTTGACAGATATCTCTAGGTTAGGATATCCAGCAGCAGGACATCAAGTTATTACAATGAGCTCTACATTTACTAACTGTGATAAAACACATCAATAATCATTATAGTAACTCAATGCCATTCTGAAAAGGGCCATAATAAGGAGTACTTTTCATTTGGCTACTTTAAGTATATTTTGATACCAATGCTTTTGTACTTTTAGTTGTAACTGAGTATTTGTACCCTGTAGTATTTCTGCTTTTGCTTTAGTAGAATATCTGAGTACTTCTTACACCACTGCTACCATGAGTGTGGAGCCGTGTGCTACAAAAGCCTGAATTTAAAACAGATATTTTACAGCTGAAGACTGTTTTCAAATGTAGAGCAGGTTGTGAGCGAGGCTCAGTTTGTAAATGAGGAAACAGTTCAGAGTGTCTGCTCTTCCTCCTGGAGTGAGTCAGAGTTTGATAAGCCCTCCCTCTCCTTCCTGGGTTACGGTCGAATAGTCCAACAATCAGCTCCTAAATTCTAACCCTATCGTCTATCCCTTGACCTCTGAGTGAAAGGTCACGGGGTTAAGGGATAGTGGATAGGAGAATTCAAAAGGACTTAGGAGAAGAGACTGCGGTACTTTAGAGAATCGACTGCACTTTCACTATCCGACGTGTTTATGATGCGCCAGCGGACGTCATCAATGTGCGTCTGCTGCTGTGGGGAAACTATGGAAACTACAGTTTTCTATACAGCGGACTACAACATGGATGTTTAATAAGAACGAGGGACTACTGTAAACTCATCTAGAGACTCTGCACCGTGCTCTGATGCTGTTATGCTTTATGAACGGGGACAACAGAGAAACATATTCTTCATGACCAAAGTTGGAATTGAAATAAAAAAGGAAAGTGAAACTTATGCTCGTCACCCTCTCCCTCCGGTCCACATTAATACAAATGATCCCAATACGTATGATTGTATGAAAAGATCTTCAAATCAATACAAATGTATTTATTATAAACGTTAGTCCTTAACATCTATCACTGTGTATATCACCATTCAAACATCTTTTCAAAGTTGAACAAACCCCACACAGCTCAGTAAAGACTGTGAAATGTTGACTTTATTTGATCATTTCAGTAAAAACTAACGTTCATATTTCTCTTTTTGATTATAATACTGATGAACGTTCAAAACAAAGCACTTTGGCAACTTACCACATACGTTTTAAAATGCTTAATAAGCACCGTAACTTTCATGATATCATTTCTCGTTCATAATCGGTTGTTTCCGTGAACGGCCAACTGTTGTGTGACGGCAAATGCCGCGGCCGCAAGGCATTGTGGGGCAGCACTTTCTCCTCTCCTTTAGGTGAGGGAGGTCCAGTGGTTCCTAAGCTAAAGGAGGTTATAAAGGAAGTTTGAAACCTCCTTTCCTTTCATTTAGAGAATTCAAACGGCTCTTATCATGGCTGCCACTGAGGGACTTCCGGGTCATTTCACTCCGATAGGAAGGTTCCTAAGCTAAATGGACTATTCGACTGCAACCTTGCTCTCAGACACAGCCAGCTCCACTCTGTGTTTCCTGGTTCCTCCCCTTTAGATCCACACTGAGGAGGAGGGGTGTAACCAACATGTGGGTAAAGCACAAGAGTATGAGGTGTGATTTGTATGAGGTGTGATTTGTGCCAATGAACGAACTCACTGAGCAGACAATCGTGTCGATCGTCGCCTTGACGTGAACTGTGCCGCGAGAGAAGTAACGTGACACTCTCGTCGCCACCCCTCTCGTCTGAGAAGCTACGTGACGTCTGCGTCTGAAGTTACTTTACTTTGGTCACCAAATAACCCAGTAATGTTACAGCTACTTAGTTGCTGTTCAAGCTAGACTCTATTTCAATATAGTTTTGGTATTAAAATAATGTTACACCTCTTGTATGCCCTGAATGCAAAAACAACCACAGACAAGAATATATATTTTTAATTATCAAAATGATAACAAAGGCTGAAAAAACAGGAGAAGCCTGTCTTCCCTTGGTCTCCAGGAGAAAACTGCATATCACCAAGTTTTCATATAGTTTTGTGTGTGAAATAGATCGCTGCAGTGAACACGACTTTATGTATTTGTTTATGGTTTATTTGATTTGGAGGGATGCAGTATACATAGAAGTTCAGAGAAGAGGCAACCCCTATTGTTTATTTCATTTCATTTTGGCACCATGGCAGAGGCAAATATAGAGTTAATGTGCAGAGATTATAAAGTCCCGTTTACTAAAATATGTAGGCTATTGTTTTTTGATGTTTAGTTGACAAAATAGTCACTGTGCTACATTTTGCTGCACTCAAGCATACATCTGAAGACAAGAGTTGTGTCCCCCTTTGGCCACAAGGGGGAGTATATATATATTGTATATATATATATTTTGTATAGATGTTGCAACTATACAGAGCTTTGGCAATACTATATGTAACTGAGGTCATGCTAATAAAGCTATTGAATTGAATTGAGTATACCTTTAGTGAGCTGTCAGGAGGAAACAAAGGTTCACCAACACATTGCACTTTAATGCTGAGAAAGTACAAAGACGTGAAACGATGTGCTGCAATGTCTGTGTATTTTTGAAGAATGCCAAGTAAAGGAAGAAAGTAATAACTCGCACTGAGTCTTAATACATTACTTTATTTCTATTATATAAAAACACTATCCAATGATTTATTATGTTTGTGTTACACACACACCATTAACCTATACAACAAGAGGGAGCCCTGGCTCAAGGACGGACAACACAAGGACACCACACATGATTCTTTTCCAATTACAGTATATTTATTTAAAGAGAGTAACTCAATTGTGATATCAGTTAATCAGTAATGTGTGTAGCGTACGGGTGTGTGATGTGTCAGCAGGGCCGGACTGGGACCATAGCAGGTCAGGAATCATACACCCAGCCAGGCCACTGCTAGTTTAGTTTGGGGGCGTTTTGCTGGATGTCTCGTCAATATTTACAACGTTGCTGCCCGTAGTGATAGCCCTACAGTTTGAATCTACTACTTAAATAGAAACATATGGACATAGGATATTGTTAAAAAAAGTGTGCATATGTATTTGGGAACCTTTCAATGTGAACATGTTTTATTTGGGGGTGGACCTCAAATGGATTAAACTGTGATCAATAACTATAGTAACTTATTGAGAGAACATGAACATAGCTTGCTTATACTGTTGTCATTACATTTCCTTTGTTCAGTGTTTTCATAGACATAGCCTATTGAAACAGTTTCCTCTGTACCTGCCAGTTCTGTCCACTGAGCTCTGCATCTCTCCCTCAGGGTCATCACCATCAGCATCATCTGATAGTGGAACTGAATAAGGAGAACATGTAATCATTACATTAACAACTATTTATGAAATAACATTATTCAAGAACATACATTATGCAACACTTATTTTATCACTTAGTTGACCCTGTATGTGCCTGGCCTAATACCATAATGAGTGTCTCCCCTTTAGACAACATAACCATCTCAAGTGATTCACTCACAGAGTGAGGGGTTTGTAGCCCCACAGTTAGCTGCAGTCTAACGGTTATATTACATATATTTGCCTTGAGTAACATTAAGGACATGTTTGGGTTTTGTGTAGCCTTATAGTCTCCAGTCACACAGGGCCTGCCACTAACTTAGCATTGGACTGAGAAACTGTTTTGTTGACATTTCGCTACCTTTTTTTGCAGGATGGGGGTCCATCCTTCCACAATAATTAATCTTGCCGTCAGTTTCAGTCGGTCCAGTCCACACTAATGTAAACAGCAGCGAGCTGGTCTCGTGAGAAACGGAGAGAGGAACAACCAATCACATCTTCATTATTCTCCTGAAATGTAAATGTGCCCATTCGCTAGTCTGACACATAGACTGTATATAAAGGTCTGGTCTGACAGGTGCGTGGTTCTCACTGCGCTTCATACCGGTGCAACTTTGAACACCTTCAATATATGCCGCATTAATGGATTTGGCCTGCAGTCACCGCATCTGGGCTGAATTAAACACGTATTATTTTAGTCCTGTGTGTTTATAATGGCGCATTTCCACTACACGGTCGGCCTCGGCCACGCTCGGTACGGCTCGGTACGGCTTGGCCTTAACAGGGCCGACTCACTTCATGCTGCGCTTCCATTACAGTTTAGGAACTGGGGTAGTTACTATAGTAACGCAG